TAGAACGGGGCTGGAGCGGCGTGCAGTGGTGTAGCGTCCTTTGTAGAGCGTCAGCACCTGAACATCACGCAGCAACACAGCGTCTGATAAAGGAACAAAGACTCTTCTCATCTGTCTGTCTGCATTGAACTGAACTGCCCTCTTCAAGATACAAAAGCTTATGGAATATTTAATTTATATTTTTCTTCTGGTTTGTATTATTTATGTATCTATATATTTATATTTTGTTAGTGTCAAATCAATTCATTGTAATTCATTGCATCTAAAGGTTTTTGTTTATATATGTGCATAAATATATTATACAGTATTTATGTATAAATTATATTAAGTGTGTGTGTATATGTAAATGTATACACACTCATACATATATAAACAAAAATATTGTTTGAAAGCACTGTAATTACATAAAACCTTTTATCAGTTTAGTTTTTTTTTATCAAATAAAAGCACCAACTGTCCTCTTTCAGATATATTACAAAATGTACATATTTAATCTATATTTTCTCATTTTCTCATTGTTATTATTAAATATAAACAATTTCACATTTTTATCATATTGGCCACACCCAAACAATTTTGTATCAAATAAAAGCACTTGTTTAAGATAGATATTATAAAAATGTACATATTTAATTTGATTTCTTCTTTCTTCTTCTTATGTAATATTGATAAACTAAACTATCTTCACATATTTATATTATCATATCGGCAAAACAACCAACATTTGTGTCACATAAACTGTCATCTTTATGATATATTACAAAAATGGACATTCATTTATATTTTCATATTTTCTCTTCTTCCATATATATATATATATATATATATATATATATATATATATATATTTGTGTGTAAATATAATATATTTACACATATCTGTCACACATATTTATTTTTCAACGTGTGAAAACTTAGAGACCTTTATTATAAAAAAATGATAGTACAAAAATGCGTATTTTATTGATATTTTCCACTTTCTTCTTATTATAATTAATATAATTTTCATTATATTATCATTTTTATGCAATTCTAATATGTATTAGTAAAACAATAAAATATCACATTTCATCATATTGGCCACCCATCCCCCACCCATAAAATATTATTTATAGAAAAAGGCCCAACTGTCCTATTTATGTCCGGATACATTTAGCAAAAAGGTACAAAACGTCTTTCTTTTTCTTCTTGTTTTTCTTAATGTAACGTTAGTATAACAAAATAGCATCACATGAACTCAAATGATCGTTTTGGACACATGCAAAAAAAATATTTGATATAAAAAAGGTCAAAAATTTTAACTTCAGGCCGAAATAAACAAAAATATTGTGGTCTCAGCAGGGTAAGTTAATAGCATCCACTAAAGCCGATAAAACTTCAATGCAAAAATAAGTCCAATTCAAACGTATTTTACTCAGACTGACCAATCTATATTCTCTAAGATTTGATTAGAATTGTTTATTTAGCTGTATGGTTTATATAAAAGAAATTTTACCATCATTCCAGCAGCGGATGTGAGGCACAATCAACAGCAAAAGTTGAAGGAATAAAACTCCTGCGGTCCTCATTTCTCCAGTTGTGATGGAAAAATCACTTCCTTAACCTCGAGTATAGTCTGAAATGCCCAACTGTTACAGGTACGTGTCTTTTACCCACAAAGTACAACTAAAGTCTGATGTAAACAAATGTAACAGCTCAGTGCATCATCATTCTTATCACACTTCCGCTTCCGTGTTTCTGGTGTTAGAAGATTCTCACTATCGCCATCCACTGACTGAAAGATGGCTTGAATCACATGCCATTGACCGCTGATAAAGGAGAAACGTTTAGACTGACAAAATGTTTTAGGCTAAAAGTATGGTCTCTTTTCGAGCCATTCCACCAAAAGGGTTACATTTGTGTCCCCAGGACATTTATATGTATAAAAATGCATGAAAATTAACTCTAAAATACATTTTATTAATAATCAAAATGTCATGCACATTAAGATAAATATATACTTAAAAACATTAATAAGACTACTTAGAACACAAAAAATAGCATGTTCTACATCTCCAACCTCTATCTCTAAACTATACTATGATTTATGATTAAAATCCTTCAGAAATCTTTATTTTTTTGCTGTGTTGCGTGACTTTAATATGGAATCTATGCTTTAATTTTTTTTTTTCATAAGATAAAAATATTTTATCTGATGTTTGAGATATAATACCAATTTTAGTCGTGTCCCTGGGTTTTCTCTCAGTGCTGTTACTCTACATCCCACCTCTGAACATAGACTGTGAAAATAAATATGACAGTTGCACAGATGTGTGTGCGTGACCAACTGTGCATGTTGGGAGTTGGGAACCGGTGAGAAAATGTCCGGTACCCGGTAACTCTACCAGTAATAACAATATTATTTTAGTTCATAGTTAACGGTTCCTGAACGCTGTAACTAAAAGCTGATAAAGTTAACCGGTCTACGTGACTGGCGGATGTTGGTGAACCTGGGTCAGGTCAGTTTGAGTTTTTATTTAATGGAATTTGTTTGCAGTAAAGATTACACAACAACATTTTGGTTAAGTAAACTTTATTTAAACTTTCGTTTGGAGTTAAGTGCGCACACTCTTTAACGTTTAGTTTAAGTTTACTCTTACCGTTCTTTTTGTTTGTTTGATACGTCGTGAGCAGCTGGTGCACCATCAAAAGGGGTTCGAGTTGAAACATTGGAGGTATTTATAGGGTTCTGGTCGATAATCGGGCAACAACTCCAAGGACTATTTTGCTTGCTTTTCTTTTGTTTGTTTATAATAAGTATATTTATTAAGTGAAGTCATTTGATAGTATTATTTGAGGTGTTTGTTAATGTATATTGGGTGTTTTCATATTCATTTATCCTTTACTGGTCACATATATCACAGTGACTAAATCAGCCATAAACACAGCCACATGTGATTTGTTTACATACAAGCTGCAGTAGGTCTATCTGTTGAGTGTGTGTGTATATATATATATATATATATTGTGTGTGTGTCAAAATCAATGAATAAAAAAATTTATGTTCCGAGTTATTATTACTTGACAGCACTTAAATGTGTATTCTTACAAGTTAAAGAACAATATTATGAAATGACTGTTTCAATGTGACATGGCATGGAGGCAATCAGCCTGTGGCACTTGTGAGGTGTTATGGAGGCCCAGGATGCTTCGATAGCGGCCATAAGCTCATCCAGTGTTGGGTCTCTCAACTTTCTCTTCACAATATCCCACAGATTCTCTATGGGGGTCAGGTCAGGAGAGTTGGCAGGCCAATTGGCTTTATGCACAGGCACAGCTTCACTACTTCCTGAATTTCAGCCAGCTCCTTGTTTCCTGTCTGCCATTATTGGACACATTGATTAATTCAGGTGTGCTTGACCTCAGTAGTCACGGCAACAATAATCAGACACACCTGAATTAATCAATTTTGCCCAATAATGGCAGACAGGAAACAAAGAGCTGGCCGAAGTTCAGGAAGTAGTGCAGCTGTGCATAAAGCCTATTGTATGGTCAGTAAACACTGTGAGCAAGTGCCAGGTCGTGCTGAAAAATGAAATCGTCATCTCCATAAAGGTTTTCAGCAGATGGAAGCATGAAGTGCTCCAAAATCTGATAGCTAGCTGCATTGACCCTGCCCTTGATAAAACACAGTGGACCAACACTAGCAGCTGACATGGCACCCCAGACCATCACTGACTGTGGGTACTTGACACTGGATTTGGCATTTCCTTCTCCCCAGTCTTCCTCCAGACTCTGGCACCTTAATTTCCGAATGACATGCAACCACTGAGCAACAGTCCAGTGCTGCTTCTCTGTAGCCCAGGTCAGGCGCTTCTGCCGCTGTTTCTGGTTCAAAAGTGGCTTGACCTGGGGAATGCAGCACCTGTAGCCCATTTCCTGCACACGCATGTACACGGTGGCTCTGGATGTTTCTACTCCAGACTCAGTCCACTGCTTCCGCAGGTCCCCCAAGGTCTGGAATCGGTCCTTCTTCACAATCTTCCTCGGGGTCCGGTCACCTCTTCTCGTTGTGCAGCGTTTTTTGCCACACTTTTTCCTTCCCACTGAGGTGCACTCTGGGAACGGCCTATTTGTTCAGAAATTTCTTTCTGTGTCTTACCCTCTTGCTTGAGGGTGTCAATGATGACCTGGACAGCAGTCAGGTTGGTAGTCGTACCCATGATTGCAGTTTTGAGTAATGAAACAGGCTGGGAGTTTTTAAAAGCCTCAGGAATCTTTTGCAGGTGTTTAGAGTTAATTAGTTGATTCAGATGATTAGGTTAATAGCTCGTTTAGAGAACATTTTCATGATATGGTAATTTTTTGAGATAGGAATTTTGGGTTTTCATGAGCTGTATGCCAAAATCATCAGTATTAAAACAATAAAACACATGAAATATTTCAGTTGGTGTGCAATGAATCTAAAATATATGAAAGTTGAATTTTTATCATTACATTATGGAAAATAATTAACTTTATCACAATATGCTATTTTTTGAGAGGGACCTGTATTATGTAATTTTATATAATATTAAATGATTTAATATATTCTGTGGTACAGAAGGGGTTCCTTATTTATTGTTTAATCTCACAAAGCTAAACCATCAGACAATAACATCAGCCAAAATTGTATGTTGTGTTTCACTGTCTCTAACGTGCTGAAGTAAAATTACAATGTAATGTATGTTTTAATGGCTTTGCAATACAAGCATCATAACATTTGTAGCTAAATACATCACCATGGTACAGTTGGTACTATAAGCAGGCTTGAAGCTTTACATTGCCCTTATAAGCAAAACATGTGAGATAACATTATTTTAACAATGATTTACGGCAAGGACCATATCAACATCTCAAAAATCTGAAGCAAAAACTATGAATAACTTCCTCCAATGATTGTTTCACATGTGCCACAAAACAGCATTCAGGCTTAAATTGAAAATAATTCCCAAATAAAAAGAAATCCTCCCGCTTACATGTAGGTTTAGAAATCATTTTATTTGGTCCACCACTCATTTAAATATACAGAAATTATGAATGGATAGATACATTGGTATTTAACTAAGAATGAACTGCAAAGCTGTTGGGTGCTCCATTTCTTTAGTACTTTCACTTCCAAATTTCATCCCATCATCCAAAATTATCAGACAGGAATGAGAGATACTTAAAGAGTTCTGCAGAGTCCGGCGTACAAATCTACTTACATTGACACCGACTGGCAGCTCTGATAACAGTAGAGTCAATAAAAGTTCATGAACCCTGCTCAATGTTCTAGACAGAGGATGATGAAGAAGACCTGTAACTGCAACTGACTGTGAGAAGAGAGTGATAACTGGTTCTCCTCTACAAGCAGAGAATGTCTTGCACTATTCATCCATCCATTGGGTTTCGCCAAACAAATCACATCAAATTAAACATCAGTCCCAGAGAATAAGCATACAAAATATCACATTTACAAGTAGCATCATTAATGCGGTTGATTATACTCAATAGTGAGAGCGTTTCAAATCTGTGTCTGACACTGTTTATTTGCAGTTTTAGACTTCTGAAGACTACAAGTCTATTCAATAAATTATATGATATATTATACTCGGAATGAAAATAATCAGATAACGATCAGAAAGGACCAGCGTTCGGACAAAGCAACTATAGAGCTTTGTTTCTTCCTTCTTTCTCAAGTTATTGTGCAACACAAGGCTTATGATATCATGAGCTTTAAAGCACAGTACCAGGATCGTGATTTAGTTACTATTGCATCTTTGCACCAAAGGTCCTTTCCTGAGTCTGTAGACATTTCCCACAGATGTGTGCCTCCCCATTGGATGTGGTGTCTCCTCGCTCTTAAAGTCCAGCCTCATCCTGCAGCATATTAAAAATGGCTAAAATCTACAGTACATCAAGTCACTATGTACTGCTTTTGAGAGTGCATGCAGAATATTGCACTACTTTCCCATAACAAACTACTGCTTGGAAAGCCCTGCTACTCAGACGTCAGTAGATATATAGATGCAGCGCCACAGCCCAGCTTCAGTGTTATAACTCGTATGCCCCGGAGTGCCTTCGGAGCAATAAAGGAGGGTCTGTTCCTGGAAAACGAACAACGGCGGGCGTGATAAAGGAATCAGATGGAGACAGGGCAGACGATAACCTTGTCCTCCAGCATCACGCTGACCACCAGAAACACAAAGTACAGCAAGAACATCAGGAAACCCAGCAGCTTGCTCATCCTCCACTTGCACACGGCGATGGAGATGATGACGAAGAGGAGCATGAGGAAGAGCAGAACGATGGCGCAGAACAGACCGTTGCTGCTCACGGTCACTGGAGCCATGTCGTTCAGGATTGCAAAGAGTAACCAAGGAAATGGCAGGCTGGAGACAGTGAACAGACACAGGGCCATGTATTAGATGCTTGTTTTAGGTAGGAGATGTAATAAAATGAGGATTATTGAGTTGATGATGAAGATCTCTCACCCCACAGTGATGTCAAATATGTTGGAGCCGACTGAGCTGGAGACGGCCATGTCGCCGAGACCTTTCCGGGCGACGATAACACTGGTGATGAGATCAGGAATGGAGGTACCAGCCGCTAGAATAGTTAGACCCATGATCTCCTCTGTTATTCCAATAGTCTCGCCAACCTGCGGGGAAAATTTGCATTGGGTGTTTAATGTGCTCAAATATTAACCACAGTTGATAACACTATGAAAGAATGAGCAACATCTGTCGTCAAGGAAATTAAGTGACAAAGACTTTCCTAAATTCATTTATTATGATTTCACTCTAGTAGCACTACAGAAAAATGTGGTAATTTGGCTGTTTTGGTGGGAATTATGGTTACCATGGTAAAGGCATCTGTGAAAAAATAGAGTGGTGCGGGTATGATGTCACTTTGTAGGCCAGCCGGCGGTTCGCATCACACTGGTTTCCTCGAGAAAAACCCAATAGGATTTTCCCATAGGCTTTTGGATTATCGCTAAAAACAAGCTCTGTGATCAACAAAAGTTTCACGTTTTGTCCACCAAGATAATTATCACAGATGAACACCACTTTTGAAGCCTAAATGTAGTCGCCAGAAGTAAAAAGCTAAAGGTAGGCGTTTAATTGCCTCAACAGCCTCTGTAGTCCCATTTAACCGTTTGTTAGCAACTGCCTTTTACAAGACATGTAATAACTTCAAAAAATCTCGAGTGGAGTAATATCGATGTATTTTATGTCGTGAAAGTGTCTTGAGCTTGTGTTCACCACAGACCATATTTCAGAAATTTAATCGAAACCTCATTCAAAAAAACCCATTGACCCAAAAGTGCTAAAATGCTAACTTGTTTTTGCTTTTCGGACTACAAAGTGATGTCATACACGCACCAATCTATAGAGTGCAACAGTGCCCATCCCCCTTTTCAGCGTCGCTGGTTCTGGAATTTTTTTTCCATGAATTTTAACCAAAACCCCATTCAAAAAACCTATTGACTTCAGGAAGATAGAACAAAAGTGCTAAAATGCTAACTCGTTTTTGCTTTTCGGACTACAAAGTGATGTCATACACGCACCAATCTATAGAGTGCAACAGTGCCCATCCCCTTTTTCAGCGTCGCTAGTTGTGGAATTTCTTTTTTTCCATGAATTTTAACCAAAACCTCACACAAAAAACCCATTGACTTCAGGAAGATGGAACAAAAGTGCTAAAATGCTAACTCGTTTCTGCTTTTCGGACTACAAATTGATGTCATACACGCACCAATCTATAGAGTGCAACAGTGCTCATCCCCTTTTTCAGCGTCGCTGGTTCCGTAACTTTTTTTTTCCATTTATTTTTCACAAAGGGATTTTAAAATAGTCTTTGTTAAAGAGTTATACGCCATGAACCAAGCCAATCAACTGCAAGGAGAATCACAAAACTATAAACTTTGATACTTTAAGTACAAATGTTTTTGAAAATCAGACAAAAGGTACAAAACTGTTTACAATTACAACTGTCGATTATACTGTAGGCCTATGTATTAAAAAAAATATATACTTATATTAATAATTTATTTAAAAATTTGCATATATTTAAACATTTCTGCCTTTTGAAAGCGTAGAGAGAGTGGCTCCATTACGTCATTTGCAGTGCATTATTGGAGTGGGCGGCGCTAAAGAGCTATTTTGGAGCATCTCGACTCTCTGATTGGTGTAATTTTCTGTACAGCGTCATGTGTGATGTAGTTTTTCCACCTGGAATTCCACTGTTAAAGGGTAACTAAACCCCAAAACAACATAATTTAGGAAATGATCTGTAAGACTGAGTTACCTTTTAAACACAATTTTAAAAATAAGCTAAAATAATATGGGCTGAAAGTGTTTATAAGTTATCGAGTCAAAATGCTGTCATCATTTACACACCCTCAAGTTTTTTCAAACCTGTGTGAATCTCTTTCTTCTGCTGAACTCAAAAGAAGATACTCTGAAGAATGGCAACCAAACATTTGATGGGCCCCATTAGCCGCGTTTCCACTGCCGGGCCAGGGCCGGGCCGTGCTAGTGCGTGCCAGGGCCAGTCGCGTTTCCACTGTCACTTCCGGGGCTTGATCGGGGCTTCCTCAGGGCCAACGGCCAGGATTTCTGGCCCGTCGAATACCTTGGGCCAGAGGGGGCCAGCTCGGGCTAGAGGCGTGTTCAAGGTAAAAGGCGGAGTTTATCGGTGTTATAGAAGGTTATCTGAAGCAAGATGCACAGGGGTGTCCATGTTTAACCGATTAACCGTTTAAAATTGCATAACATTTTAATTTGAACTGTAGGCCTATGCCAAAATCTGCGCAAAAATATATAGGCTACATATCGACGAATTTTCAGATATTTGTTTGATTTTTTTGCCCCTTAAACATTTAAAATATTTGACAAATTAATATGAAAAAAATATATATTTTACTGGTTTTCTGAGGCCAAATTAGAACCTGGAAATGATATTTTCCCCGCAGTGCTGAATGAGAAGAGCCGTAACCACAGCCTACAGAAAGGGGATTTATGGGTGATTTATAGGCTATAATAAATGTGTCTGATAATAAAATAATATAAAATAACGAGGCATTAATTGTTTATTAATAAACTATTGTTTTCTAAATGATTTTCGGCTAAAAACATATCTCCATCTCCGGATGCACATTTAGAGAGAAATTAAGCTACATAAACATAGAAGATATTGGCTTTCGATTCGAATTTGTTCGTTTTAAATTGGACATTTAAAGCTTTAATCTTCAAAGGATATAACCCATGTAGACTAAAGCTTTAAATGTCCAATTTAAAACGAACAAATTCGAATGCGGTGGCTGTTTCAGGTCTCGCGCTTCAGTTCACGGAGATCATGAAGCGCGCCTTGATTAATTGTTAAAGCACAACGTTTTCTTGTTATAAATAAATTTATTTGCGAATAATGTATTATTATTTTCTGTATGACCAGAAATTAAAGAGTATTTTAAGTTGTTTCCACTGAAAGAAATGCAATGAAATCACATGGGCGTCTCGCAGCCATCAGTGCGTGCTCCACACACACTGGATGATATTTGTCAAAAATATTGTGTTTATTTGTGCTCTGTTCCTTTTTTGGATAAAGACGTCTTCTACATAGGCTATGCAGCCTAATAAAATGTTACAATAATGATGATGATGGTTATTATTATTATTATTATTTGCAGACACTAACTCAAGAGTTTTTGTGAAATGGACGTTTTGCTTATTTTCAATTGGCAATTTCAGTTTGAAGGGTGATGGAAATGCGGCTTTAACTGCTCCGTACTTGCTGCATTTTATTTCTATAAATTAATTTCGTTTCAAATGGGGTCCAATCAGTTATTAAAGGTGTTAAAAATTTACTCTGTATCTCGAGGTTGCGGCGCACACACTATGCACCGAGTATTAACCGATGGGCCTCGGTTAACGATTAATGAATAACTTGAAAACGTGCCCGCAGCCCTACTTGTTATATCGCGCAAAAAATCGCTGCTTGAAATGGAGAATCGCCTGTACTGGTCTCGGGACACTATTGAAGCCACTATGGCAGTTGAGTTAATATACATGCTATCTTCCTAATTTAAAAAATAAATTAATTCATAATACCCGCTGAAATGGGTTGGGTTTTATGACGTTTGATCCTGAAAGGCGTGTTAGGGGTGGGGTCTGGGGCAGCGCTGTGGGGCTACTGGCCCGGTGTTCTGACATTCCATCCTACCCGTCAGATTGTCCTACCAAGGCTTACTGCGCATGCGCACATCAATAATACGTCATTTTTTGTCACGCTGAACAACACGCCCATAATATTTTACTACTTGCGCGAGATCTTCTTCATCTGAGGTAAGTTTTTCACTATTTTTGTCAATTATTACTATACAAAGATATATAGCAGTAATGAGAACTGTTTACTCTCACATTCATACAAAGCAAATTCATATTAGCATTTTTTTCATGAAAACATTAACGTAAAATCATTCTACTCGTTTATTTCATACTGGTAGGACAATCTGATGAGGCATTTTGCACTGTAAAATCATACTACTCGTTTATTTCATACTGGTAGCACAATCTGATGAGGTAGGCTATTTTGCAACGTAAAATCATCCTATCGTTTATTTCATAGGACAATCTGAAGAGGTAACGTTTTTGCACTGTAAAATCACCGTAACATGGCCTAATAAGAAAATTCGGCAAAGTTACACAGAAATATTTTATGTAACTTAGTCACAGACGCGAAGCAGAAACGCTCAGTAGGATTTTACGACGAGGTAGGATGAACCGATAGATATGGCTATAATTTTGCGCTACGGTAGGAAAATCTGACAAGGTAGGACAGATCGACAGAACACCGGCAGTGGAAACGCAAGCCCGGTGCTTGAGGCCCGAGGCCACTAGCTCGGCCCGGCTCGCTGTTAGCTCTGGCCCAGCCCTAGCCCGGCAGTGGAAACGCGGCTATTGACTTCCATAGCATGAAGAGAAAAAAAAAATACTATTGATATCAATGACATCAACCGTTTGGTTACCGACATTCTTCAGAATATCTTCTTTTGTGTGTTTTTGAGTGAAACACTGTTATAGTTGATTCACTGACTCACTACAGAGGGAGCTTATGCAGAGCTAGAGAACAGTTGCCATTGAAAATGACAAGAATAGTTAATTGGCTTTAGGATTTGTCTGGTTTTATTATGCTGCTCTGAGTTACAGATTTAAAGCAGAGTGATAAGGTTAGATCAACCTTTTTGGACATACAGTATCCCTACAGTTTACTTTAGTTTATTAGTTTATAATAACGTGGATTTTGATAACCTTTTCGATAATAAGAGCAGCTTTAACCTCTACGGATTATTTCCAGCTGTAAATAGGCATACATCAATAAAATGTGTAACTAATTTCAGAGTATATCTAACAGTAATTTAAATACATTGGAAAAAGAAAGGGCATTAGTACAGGACAGGTGTGTGTGAAGACATTGAGGTACCTGATGAGCCCACCACACCATCAGGTAGGAGAAAACAGCAATCCAACAAATAGATCCCAAAAAGGTAAAGGGGAAGAACTTTTTTGACGTCTATGGAAGAAAAGAGGACAGAAGGAAATTTAAGGAAGGGGTGTCATGCTATTCAAATATATATACTGTGTACATATAAACACCAAGCAATCTGTTTGTTTGACAGTCTAAAATAGCAAGTGTTAGGGAATACTTCTTTTAGTACCACTGACTATTGCACAGAAATTGCATGTTGCACCTATAAATACAATGACAGGATCTGCTGTCTGCTGTTATAAACAGCATTAAATCAGTTTCTCAAATGCAAAAATAGAAAATGCTATTCGATCATACATCTCTGCGGACATCTGGCAGTGACAGCCACAATGGAAAGACGATGGGTAAGATTAAGAGGTATGTTGCTTGCTTTCTCGGTGTGTCTGGCCATGCCAAGCTCAGAGGCTGGTCTTCATCCTCTTCCTCCTCCTCAGGCTTTGAGATTAAAACCACAAAAACACTGATGTTAGTAAGTTGCCGGTGAAATATTAGTATAGAGGGTATGCATTGACGTCACTTTCCTGGCAGAATACGCCCCCCTCAGGCGGACTGAGTGGGAAAAGAGCTGTTGCGTGGATTTAATAGGGGATTTAATAGGGGAAACTTTAATAGTAAAACAAACGATTATCGATGTTGGACTCGATACAGTGTTCCTTACACTTTACCTAAGATCCAGTGATCCATGGATATTGACATGCAGCCAGGAATCGTGTTTCCTGACATTTATATGTGCCTGATTTAGACGCTGGGGAAATACATTAAGGAAATTTACGTGTGAACGCTTTATATAAATGCAATATTGGTAGGTCTAAATCCGGCTGATCACTTACATCAATGTTATATATCCAGCCCCTAAAACTTGTATAGTTTCTTGTCCGTGTTTATTTAAAAAACATCAAATTATGCAGAATATCCGATGGTAAAGTTGTCAATACAATATATAACAATACAAAATTTAGGGTATGATTCAGCATATTGAGAAAAAACAACTAACTGCAAATCCATGTTTCGCTGCTTGCCAGTTGTTTCTGTGAATTGCAGCGATCCATTTGCTTCTGAAGTTTCGGCAGTCTGTAAAAATATACCTCAAATTTCTTGTCAAATCCAGTTTTTACAGTTAATCGCAAAGCTCTTTCCCATATTGAATGCGTTTTGTGTGTTTTTCGCGGCATTCACGCTGAAAACAAACGCTGCCGCTCAGTCTTTTTGCCACTCAGTGGGCGTAACTGGAGTCACTCCAGCCGACGGCGACGTCACGCGCATACTCTCTATTTGAATCTAAGGGGTTTAGATATATAAAAAATTGGAGGGAGTATGCTGGACGTGTCCAGGGTGATATGGTTGTGTTTAGATTATTGGGAATAATGACATCACCTCTGCTCCAATGCTGCCATTCATGGGCGGAGTGACTTCGACCTCCACGTTACTGCTGTTGGGAAGGTTCTTATCGGCTAGAGAATAAAGCAACAGGAATCTCAATTTAGTCATTTGAAATCTTATCTTAATATTACACTATGTAATGATGTGATTTAAGCACTAACCCCAGCACTATCAGCAGATTTGAAATGCTTTTGACAGATGTAAATATTTACTAATCATTGTGTGTGGTTGTAGGCTGTGGCACAATAGGAAGGAAATTTTTTTTTTTTTTTTTTTTTTAAATCGAAATGTTGCTGCTGATGTTATTGTGCACAATTCATTGCAAACTGCAAGTTTCCAAAGAAAAAAAATACTTGTCTTTATAGTATTCTTTTAGAAGTTCTGCATCAGGAATTACTTTTTGGCACCATATCAACAATCTACGGAGCCCCTCTAGTCCCAGAGTTACTATCTAGTCTAGTCCCGAGTTACTATCTCGTGGCCACGAGTTAGTATCTTGTGGCCACGAGTTACTATCTTGTGGCCACGAGTTACTATCTTGAGGCCACAAGATAGTTATAATTAATTTTTTTTACCAAAGTGGGACTAGAGGGGCTCCGTAACAATCACTTTTTTTGGGGGGGAATTTTTCACTTTTCCATGGATGAATGGCCAACCCTTCTGTGATCATCCAGATTTTACACAAAATTGTTACAAGTGTTACACGTTGAATTTTAACAAAACATTTAAACTCACCAACACCATTTGCCTCATCTTCTCCCTTTTTTCTTGCGATCTTGTGTAGAATTGATGCCTTCTCCTTGAACTTCCCTGAAGTTTATTATTTAATTAATAAGACTACAAATCTACAAAATGGGTCAATATGTGTGCATATTTGTAAATTTATTACCATCACTGAGAGGCACATTACCGTCACTGAGAGGATCGAGTGTGTGAATCATTAGTTGGAAAATGCTGTTTCTCATGAGAGTGTTGTGGAGGGAGGCGGAGCTTCCTCCTCTCTGGAGGCGGGGTTTAGCCTATAGGGAAAAAAGGAGAAGAAATATCGTCAGATATATCTAATAGTAGTGTCTATTGTTACCAAAATTATGCTGAAAAGCGGATGTTGATACTTACAGAAAGTTTATTTTCTTCATCGACTACTTCAGTCATAACCTTGAGGGAAAAAAAGAGAAAACAGAACTCATTGAATTCATTGAAAAGTAGTTTCTTATCAAAAAGAGTAGGGAGGGAGGGTTGTCAAATTAACAATTAGTTTAGACCTAAAATACATATTCTTAAATAGATAGTTAAATTGTAGGCTCCTCCTACAAACAGCAACATCTCCAGCATTAAATGGATCTAGACTATATTAGTAGAAATGTTAGCAGCAATGGTATTCTAATCTCCATTTCAAGTTTAATTGTATATATATATATATATATATATATATACACATGCACACACACAAACATAAGATTTAAAAAATGCATCTTCAATGCTCATCAAGTCTGCATTTTTTTAATAAAAAAAATTGTACATTACAATTCAAATTACTGTGTTATATTTTAATATTTTAAAATGTAATTTATTCATGTAATTGCAAAGCTGACTTTTCAGCATCATTACTCCAGTCTTCAGTGTCACACACTCTGATATTATTATTATAAATCATGATTAACAATGTTAAAAATAGTTGTGGTGCTAAACATTTTTGTGGAAACGGATGCATTATTATTATTATACTAATCTAAATATATACCACAAAACTTAGTTAAAAAAATGTAATTAGTTTAAGCATTATTTTTTTTATAACGATTCAAGATCCTAGTGGGGTGTGTATTTTTAAGTAATGATAATAAATAATAAAAGTAGCAATATTTTAACCATTAACTATATATGACCAGTACATATGGCAGTAACAAAATGTATAAATAGAACTGGACTCCCTCATGACCTTAAAAAAAACTGAACAAAAACAAAGAGGGCTTTTAAGGCCATGCACCTTTAAAATAGATCAGATCAATCTGTCAACGTGTAGGTAACCAAGAATATGATAAGCCGTTACACAGAAGAGCTAAAAACAGCTATGACCTGCTGTAGTTCTGGTCTTCTGCCTCTACATGACCCTAAATAGCACTTAAGTGTTGTATAAGAAGACGTAACATAGAATTTTGACCAGCCATCCAAAATACCATCAATAACAGTTTCAAAAGACACCACTAAAACCAAAATCTCGAAATCTCATACAGATGTGGCCTCTGGCATTACATCCTTCCAAACAAAAAGTACTGCATTTAATACCATACATAATGTAGTAAGTCAACCATATAATACTACACTAAAACTTGAGAGGAAAGGCGATTTTTTTTTTAAATATTATATTATAGAAATGTTTTTATTCATATTTATATATACAAATTTTATTAAAGTTTTTATAATATAAATTATAGAATGAATAATATAATTTTAGCGAAAAAAGTCTGATTTTTTTTTTTTTTTTTTTTTTTGGAACTTTCATAAGAGAGAATTAAATATAGTTAAAACATTTTAAATACATATACACTTTACAATAATACTTTACTTTCCCAAATGAGTTTCAGATGTGAAAGCTCTTCTCCTAAAGGGTTTAAGCTGTACTGAAATAAGCAGTTGCCCAGTGGGGTGGCAGCAGCAGCACAGTGTCCTCGTGAGAAAATGAGTTGGCTCCGCAGAGACACACGAGCAGCCTTAATTAAGCCTAATCAGCCCAGTAGAACATAGAGGGCTTAAGCACGTTTCGCTTGTGATTAGCGGGCCCTGCCATTTGCTCGCTGTTCGTGCTCCTCCGTCCCCAGCTTTGGTCTTTCTGCAGGTGGAAGATAAGCTCCGAGCGATGCCTGTGGAAATAGGGCTGAGCTCAGTGTGCTCAGCAAGCTTTAAAGCAGAGGTCAGCCAACAGGAGACATTGACGGACGTCCTGCTGTTAGGCCAACACTGAGTTAAGGCCGTTCGCGGCAAGAATGAAAATTATATTAGCGTTGTGTTTATTCATACCTGCAGCTCACAGTCAGATGGATTCTGATTGGCCGTCAAAAAAAAAAAAAAAATGCGATTCCAAAAATATAATTTCCCTCCGTCGATCATTTATTAGCCTATTGTTATAGTTGTGGCGTGGACTTCGCTATTCTCATATAACGTTAATTTTAGTTATCATTCTTGAAGGTGATATTTTACCACCTATTACACTTCAGGTTATTAAAATACTCTTCACACTAAGATAATGTCTCCTATCCTCCCCTAGGAATCCAAAATGGTTCTTCGTTTGAATCGCTACGAAAACCGTGTTTTCGAATCTGTATTTTTAAAAGTTTAGCGCAGATACTTGTGCACATTCACGTTGTAAAACTCATTTAAAAAAAGCAATCTTGTGAACATCCTTATTTTACAACTTTATCAAGCTCAGTTAAAATGACTGGTGTAGCAAACACCAAATCATTTTTTGAAATAGTATATATTTTACTGCATCATTTCTTTTACAAAGTAGCACATTGCAGAGACTGTCCCCATTCATCACAAAGGCAGTTGCATGAATATGCGATTCAAAATCATCTTTGCCCTGACTTTTTTTTAAGCTTGAATCATAAATCACTGCAGATTTGCAGGTAAAAAAAAGTTGCAAGAAAATTACAGTACTGATGGGCTGATGGCACCACCGCAACATGCACATTTTTAGCGACTAGCTGAGATGTGAAAGGCAGAGGACTGGAAAAAAATATAAGTCCATTTCATGTTTTTAAGAGTCGTCCACAAAGGAAAAGAATCAACATTGTTGAAGAGCTACCATATAAAATGATTTCTAGATGTTTCACCAGTCATGCACACAATACGCATTAGCTGGATGACCTGTCGACATCATGTGAAAATGTTAGAAAATAAACAACTGACCTTGTGAAACCTTAAATTCTGAAAACTTTATCCATGACTAAAAATGGATTGTGGAGGTAAAAAACAAACAAACATTGCAAAGCCAAAGCACATTTAACAAATGTTATATATGTTATATAACTTTGTCATTGTATTTGGCATGTCATGTACCCTTACACAAGGCACAGATGCTGCTGAAATTGAAGTCAACGGGATCAAGGCCAGTCTTATCAAGAGCAGCATAATGACATTTGCAGAGTAACAGTTTTAGCAATTAGCTGGATCCATGCAATGTCACCATTACAGTACTATATATAGTACTGCAAGCAAGCACTATATATATATTTCCAAATTGCCAAATTATTTAAAAGACTAAACCTACTGTAATTAAACAGCAACATGACATCATGACTTTTGCGTAAACTTTCAAGTCAAGTGGCTTGTTATCTATACGCATTTTGAGCTATCCGCGTGTATCCATGTGTATGCGTGTAAGTCTACGCCATTAATGTCCGAGTGATTCCGAGTGTATGTACACGCCATTAAATGTCCGAGCGAAACGAAGCAAAATGTAGATCTACATCTGGGGAGCGATATTTTTTTTCCTAGGATGGTAGGGGAACACTCACACACATAAAGCTATTAACCCCAGTGACAGGTAGGTTTAGGGACGGGGTTGAGGTAGGTCATATATTTATACATACAGTAATAACGTTAAGTCAACGGCATTCATGAACACGCTGAAAAGCGATTATGCGTGTTGATAGCACGCCAAAAATGGAAATACAAATTGGCACAATTTCATGAGATCAGTCTAAAGTAACTCCACCAGACTGCATCAGTCAGTATAACAATGGATATATAGACTGTCCTTTACATTAGTCCGTTACCATTAGTCTCCTGGCCCGATGCCTTTACTAATGAAGATAATGCGGCATGATGTAACAAAGACACTGGAGATGCTGAATCATCTTTGTTTCAAAATATCCAATTGGGCTCAATTCTGCAACTGTTTTTGCACACATCTGTGAAAAACCCAGACAGACAGACTGTTTACAAGGTCGATAATCTTGTGGAGATCATTTCAGAGTTGACATGGGTCAACTTGAATTGCCTCTATAGTGTCTCTCAACAAGGGTCCTGTAGTTAACCAGAGAAGGCAGGTGAGCACACTAAAGAGGCTTAAGGTGACAGGTAACCAATTTTAGAGACAGATGCATTTAAGGATTCGCAAATTACCTCACACAACAATTGACACCTTCTCACACTGTCCCCTCTTTACTTTTCAGCACTTAGAATTATGCTTAAGCATTAACATACTACATAACTAGAAAATCAAATGCACTACTTGTTTTTTTATAAGTCAGAGGGCACTTTGAATAGTATACAACACCACAAAATGAATTACGAAACCAATTTGGCAATGACTTTTAATAACTATGCACTGTTTTCTCAAGAAGTGTTTGTATTATTTTTAACTTTAATCACTTAAAATGCATACTAAATCATTTAAAAGGATCCATAGTGGCGCAGCACGGTGTAATTATTAATAATTAAAAACTGTCTATTGTAGGACGTTCCCTATTCCCTCAAAAGTCTTCTTCAGAAGGGAGGTCACTTCCCTAAGCACTAAGAGTCTTTTTACTTTGGTTGGCGTCACCCTGAACTAAGCAGTTGATTTGGGATTACAAAGGATTTCAGGTAGGGAGTCATAAACTTCAAACAGCGATGAAGATATCCGCCACGTTTCTGAACTTACATTACACACTAACAGATACAAAGGTCTTAGAAAGATATCTGATATCGTGATTCAAAAACCTGCTGCTTTCCCACAATGCTCTATATTTGAGTCCTGTTTAAAAAAGAACAGGACACCTTTCTATACTTAGCAGTACTAAAAGGATCACGTCTTATTGGATTAACCCGAGCTTCGGCTAAAGGAGCAAAGAGCACATGTCCCAACTGCCCTATACCAACCCCCTGCCCTGACTATTCATTTTAATTTTAGAAGTCTTTCTAAACCAAAGCCATTTTTCATTCCAATTCAGAAGGGTGAAAATCATTTATAAAGTGCCTACCTGTCAAATCAATTCTGAATGAAAAGTGGGAAACAACAAGCTTTCTGGAATCATATTCCCAACGTACTGAGATGACATTCCTACATTTAAAAAGCAATCTACCAACAAAGAGCCATCTAACACTAATGAATGTGGTTTTGTATATAACATGCTACTAATGGTTCTTAAAAGTAATGTAAATGGCCCTGAAGCATTTCTAAGAAGCCTATCAAAGCAGCGCGGTAGCCTGATTCACCTGTGTTCCATATGTGGGACAAACTGCATCTGCAAACAACAAATCCGACTCCAGCTGTTGGACAAGATACAAACGACAGCTTTAAACCTTAACTGGCTTCATATGGGCCTAAACTAGATCAAAAATACATTTCACTAAACTGATATATCCAGAGTCATGTTAATTTGACAATGCATGGCATACAATCATACATTATTCATATAGTTGTGGGTTAATACAGTGGCCACAAAACCATTTTTTGGTGCATTAGTGACTTCTGCATATAAATTTGTCTTTTATAAACTGCATTTATACAGTATATGTGGCTAATTTGTCTTGTCCAATTCAAAGAATTGTAATAGAATCAAGATCTACTGGAAATATAAAAATCAGCTGCATATACTGTGTAGATATATGCTTATTAATAATGCGTATTTGATAGAGAAATAACTCCACCCAGTTGTTGTTTGCAGTGTTTTTCCTATAATGGACTCATTATGACCTAATCACTATTTGTATATTTTTTTCCCCAGTAAAAAAAAAATCGATACATTTTAAAACAAGATTGCAAAAACTGCTGTTAATATATCTTTATTGTAAGTTTATTGATCTTACTGTGCTGGCAAGTTTAGTTTAAACACATTAATACAACATTTTGTGAGGTTTATGCTTAAAACCAAAAATTCTTCCTCGGTTATAACTGTTTTTTTTTTTTTTGACGCCTCTAAGGCTTTTGATAGAGTTAATAAGACAAAGGGGTGTGCTAATATAGCATACTAAGAATTTTGGTAAATTGGTGCACTAATCAGAGTATGACAATAAAATGGGGTAATAATTGTGTCTCAGGAAATTAAATATGGCAGGGAGATCTACTCTCACCAGCCCTTTTTAACGTTTATGAATGAATTGTCAGAACGATTAAGTGAATGTAAGACTTGATGTATGCTTGGTAATTTCTTAAGTCATCTTACTTACTGATGATTTGGTCATTTTTTCTTTGAGTAGTGCTAGCTTTCAACAGCTGTTATATATATATTCTGAATATCGGATTAAATATGATGTTAAATATAATGCAAAAAACATTGTTTCCATGATATGTAGAACTAACAGGGATAGGGACTAACAGGAATAGGGCAAGAACTAAATGTATGCACTGAAACAAAATATGTGGATCATTAAAGGGAAATAGGCTCATTTTACCACTCCCCCAGAGTTAAACAGTTGAGTTTTACCGTTTTCGAATCATTTCAGCCGATTTTCTGATATTTAGAAGAATATCAGTAAACAGACACTTTCTGGTCTCATTGACTTCCATAGTAGGAAAAAAAATATATACTATATGGAAGTCAATGAGACCAAAAACTGTCTGGTTACTGATATTCTTCTAAATATCAGAAAATCAGCTGAAATTATTTGAAAACGGTAAAACCCAACTGTTTAACTCTGGGGGAGTTGTAAAATGAGCCTATTTCCAAAAAAAGTGGAGTATCCCTTTAATGATGAAATTTGTGATGATGAAGATATGTATAGGCAGCATTGTAAGTTATATGCCCAAGCTAATATGTTGGTGAGAAATTTGTATGTGTGTCCAGATCAGGTTAAGATAACCCTTTTTAGAGCAAATTACTTCTTTGTATGCTGCTATTTTGTGGGTTAAGTTTAAAAAAGTGAGCCTATGTTTATTTGTTGGCTGCATAATTCACAGAATGCTATTATTACGCTGTTGTCAAAACTTATAGGCAAAGTGTGGTGCAATACCATTGTATTGTATGTAATTTTGTTAGATATTTTAAATATTAGATATTATTTCACTGCAAAACAAGACTGATTGCCACAAAACCAACCATAAGAAGTCTCTGAGGTAATATCAACAAAGCTAATTGACCCAAGAAAATACAAATATAGATATCCATCCCTCTTGAGATGTCTAGCTGCTAAAAGGCTTGTTAGATTTTTACCAACTTTCTTCCTTTATATCTCCATCTTTCCTCATCTCTACTACTCTTGGTCTATTTTTCTGCTGTCTGTCCCTGTTGGTACCACATGGGTGCTGGACTTACTCAGCTGATTGTGTACTCAGAGCAGTGTTGTCTGCTTTGTCCAGGTGACACCTGATAGAAAGCCTAATCCGGCTCAGAGAGGTGATAAAACTGTCAGTGTTCTTTTTTTAATTGGGAACGCTAATTCTCAGCCAATATTTGCTTTCAACTCCCATTGCTGCTGCAATCATCTCCTTAGTTCTGTTGTAACTGCTCAACAACCCTAGGAATTCATGAAATCCACCATAAAAAACAATGAGCATCGGCTCCTCGCTACATTCACATAGGGTAAATCGGTGTTTCTCAACTGGTGGGTCACGGCCAAAAGTGAGTCGCAAGACTTTTATTTTGAAAGACTTGTGTTTAAGCTGTTGACACTTCTTTTTCTCAGATGTATAGCCTGAGAAAAATGAGTTAATGGCTTAATGACCATGGGAAAATGTGTGTCCCATGGCCAAACCAGTTGAGAACCACTGCCGTAGATGTTGCCATGTCTTTCATTCTATTGGTTTCCTGAATGTGCATAAAAGATGCAATTCAACATACTGCCTTTAAAAAAAGAAACTATTTATTTTTATTTAACATGTTCACTGGCAAAAGCATGGAAATATAGTTTTACCTTCCACCTCTTATTATACCCATCCATCATATTTATATTTTAAATACCATCACCGTTGTCTCTTTAGGGGCATAAGTGCTTATTTCAAAGCGTCACTATTGCACAATAGTGTCTTTCAGAGCAAAGTTATAGTTAAATACTAGTTATAGCACATCAAATCCATCTTCATAATATACCAGTGGTTCTCAACCTTTTTGACTTAAATGCCCCCGCTGTAAATAATATAAACTTTATCTACTTTATATATGTTTGCTGAGCCCCGCTGGTTAAGAACCACAGTGATATACTGTTTCCTAACAGGAGTGGAAGGAGAGACATCTGTAATTCACATCCACCTCTTTGACCTGGAAAGCAAATAATTCATCTGGAGTAATGCAACTCACCTTAGGAGCTTCAATGTCGTCCACTTGATTCCTGAGTAGTTTAGTCTTTATCAAAGTCTCTACGGACACGTTGTACTTCATAAATGTGACATAGGAAGCATAACAGCCCAACAGCGCAATGCTCTCAAAATAGGTAATGTGGTTATCCAGGAAGAAGACGATCAGCATAATAAGTCCAATGATATAAAAGGTGACATCTCTAAACAGAGGCCACCAAGTGAGGTTGAGAATTTCACGTGAAAACAGAGCGCACATCCCGATCACGAACAAGATGTTGAAGACAGCAGAACCCACAATGGTCCCGATGCCCACGTTGCTGTGTGAGACGAACACCCCGATCACAGAGGTGAAGAGCTCGGGTGCGGACCCTCCAGCGGCCATGAAGGTGGCGCCCGCCACGTCGTCCGAGATCTCCAGTTTTTCTGTGATCACGGTGAGGGCGGGAACGAAGAACTCGTCGCACACGATAGCGAGGGCGACGAACATGTAGATCATGCCGAACATATGCAGCGAGACAGCACCCTGCCTCCTCTGCTCCAGTGTGAACAGATCCTCAGGGTAGTCGCCCTGGCTGTGTTCGTCGGTTGAGGCCATGGCGATGGGCGTATCCGCTGAAACGTTATGCTCTTCTTTGGAAGACAGGACAGTTCTGTGTGGCACTGGCTCTGCAAGTCCCTCATGGTTGGCGAAAGAGGTGAGTGGCATCCATCTCGGGAACGGGCCCAAAGTGAGGGTAAAGGCACTCCAGGACAGGAACAATGTGAGGGCAGAGAGGCTCAGGATAAAACCAAAAATCCGTGAAGGGCGTAGTTTCCTCCTGACGTGCTGCAATCGGTGGCGCTTGCTGTTCCGCTCCAGAGGGGTGCAATCTGACCCCAGTTTGATGCTGGGGAATGTGCGATCCATTGTTGACGGGCAGCTCGGGGGTCCGGTGGTCCGAAGTCTATGGAGTGCCGGTCATGGTTACACTCCGACTCTACTTAAACCTGACAGGAACAATGTACTCCCCGATTCCTCGTAGGGTCCAGAATCTCTAATGGTTTCCTCATAATAATCTCTGAAACACAACATAATGCAAAAGTGTGTGTGAGAGAAAGATTATTATTTTGGACAAATATCATAATTACCAGTCAGTGATACTAAAATATAACATTTTAGTATGACTGAATGGCATGAATATTCATTTTAAAGGCACTTTTTTTGGGAAATGGGCTCATTTTACCACTCCCCCAGAGTTAAACAGTTGGGTTTTACCGTTTTCGAATCCATTCAGCCGATTTTCTGATATTTCGAAGAATATCAGTAACCAGACAGTTTCTGGTCTCATTGAGTAGTATATTTTTTTTCCTACTATGGAAGTCAATGAGACCAGAAACTGTCTGGTTACTGATATTCTTCTAAATATCAGAAAATCGGCTGAATGGATTTGAAAACGGTAAAACCCAACTGTTTAACTCTGGGGGAGTTGTAAAATGAGCCTATTTCCAAAAAAAGTGGAGTATCCCTTTAAGTAGGATACATTTAAGTAGGATTAACATAACAGATGCTTTCCACAGCCAATCAGGTATCTGGCTGTCACCTGGCTGTTAGCTATTAACTTCTAGATCTGCATCTGTCTTTGCTAGGGATGCACCGATTTGAAAATTTTGGTCGATACCGATAATTCTTTATATTTGAAAGCCGATAACCGATACATCGGCTGATAAACTTAAATCCAAATTTTTATCTAATTTTGAGAGCCTGATTACAAAAACAAAAGTCTCACAATTAAATCCACGTCCCAAGCGCACAATAGGCTTTATGCCGTGCGTCACGTGACCAAATCGGAAAACGGGTCTCATCGCATCCGCTTGTCAGAGAAAGTGTTAACGGCCGTAAGAACTGACTACGATATCTATGGATATTTAAGGTAATCAGCTAACCTACCTAGTTCACTTTGTTATTGCCGTTTTATTACATTTAAATATCTAAACGTTACTGTGAAGAATAAAAATATAAAACGTTTAAATATCAATCTGCACATGTGAGGGATATTGGTTATGCTAATCTTTGTTCGCTCCTTTTAAGTTATCTTGAGTAAAACCGCAAAAAATTTCATGAAGCACATACAAAAGACCTGGACCGGAAGCGATGCGACCTGTTTTACAGAGAATGCGGAAGTAAGTTGTGCATAAAGCCTATTATAATGATGTTCTCATTATAGTGTTGTATAGCCGATATGACAGTTGTCCCGAACCATATTTTCATTTTTTGAAGAGATTTCAATCATATTTCAAGAAATTCAAAAACATAAACAGTTCTCAACAAGTGTCTCAGCTGAAGGGAATAATACATTATTTATCGGTTTTAATATATCGGCCACGATTTCTTAGCAGGCCGATAACGATAACATTAAAAATGAACATATATCGGCCGATACCGATATGCTGGCCGATATATCGTGCATCCCTAGTCTTTGCAGTAAATCTAGCAACATTTTTAATACTACAGGTTCACTAATCAAAGATGGAAAAGACAGATGCTGTGGTTTTGGTTTGGCACACAAGCTCTCTTTCGCAGTATAATAGTGCGCTGTAGATCTACAGTAATCGGTGTGGACTGGACTGTCAACAGAGCAACAGAGAGCTTAACTTTTCTCACCTCACTTCCTACTGTAACTTTGAATAATTTAAATGATGTCAATGCTTTGGCGATAGACCATTTTTATCTTCCCATAGTTTCACAGTTCAAAACTAATTTGCCATGTTAATTGCCATGTTGTAAGAAAGCAACATGCACTTGTTAGCTTTGTCCACCAGATCTGACTTAAAGGGATACTCCACTTTTTTGGGGAAATAGGCTCATTTTACAACTCCCTCAGGGTTAAATTGTTTAAGTTTTACCGTTTTCTAATCCATCCAGCCAATTTTGACTTTCATAGTAGGAAAAAAATATATACTATGGAAGTCAATGAGACCAGAAACTGTCTGGTTACTGATAGTCTTCTAAATATCAGAAAATCGTCTGAATGGATTAGAAAATGGTAAAACTCAACTGTTTAACTCTGGGGGAGATGTAAATTGAGCCTATCCCCTAAAAAAGTGGACTATCCCTTTAAGTACAAATTTACATTTATTCATTTAGCTGACGTTTTTATCCAAAGCAACTTACAATTGCTATATATGTCAGAAGTCGCACGTCTCTGGAGCAACTAGGGGTTAAATGTCTTGCTCAGGGACACATTGGTGTCTCACAGTGGATTCGAACCCGGGTCTCTCACACCAAAGGCATGCATCTTATACAAATGTCAGAATGATTCAGTCATATTGGTCTTGAATAAAACCAATTCATTTACATGTTAGGACATATTTTCACATGCATATCATTAAACCACAAAGCCATCCAACAGGTCATGAAAAGGTCACTTTAGATCACCCTGATACTGTATATCAAATTATATTAGACACCTCACAAGTTATCGGTTCTCCTTTTCGGAGGCCTATATAGGCTACCACGTGAGTCCTAAAATAGAATCCAATCACATGAGATTACCAATCTAAAACAGTCTAAACCATTGAATGATATGACCGTTATTTACAGTTAACATTGCCAATAATTCAGCTCTGTAGTGTCTGTAAATCAAAAATGTAACAATCACAGTGTGCAGCCACTTTTGTTCTGATCTGAATAGGTTACAGGAGGACATGTGCTAATGTGCCTTAAACCAATATATAACCACTATAATCTGGCAGACAGGTCCTGTACTCACACAATGCAGACAACTTATAAAGTAATACCTCATTCACACATGAGATATTAATCCAAGCAAAATAAGTGTTGTATGGCTTATTTCATTAGCAATATCAACAATAAGATTATATATATAGTTATATTTATTATAGAAAAAAAATCTATATTTCTATTATAAATAATTAAAATCAACTAATAATAATAATAATTTAAATCTAAAAATGATCAAATTAAGCCATTTTTCCACCAAGTAATATAGCTCTGTAGAAAGATTTACAGCTTCAGCATGACTCATCCAAGTCAGAACAATAATTCATATTTTAACCATTAAGAACTCATTGGCATTTTTATGAATTAATAGCTTTCAAATTTTAAAACTCCTGGCTGCTTCCTCTGTTAAGTCCATCTGTCAAGTTAAGGATTTAATCGGATCTATAGGCCACTGTTATCCTGATTTACACAGCCTTTACTTTTACCCTAACTCACAGTATATACCAGTACATTCTGTATCACACACTCTTATACATATGCTTAATCAGTAATCATATCTGCATGATATGAATATTAAGAAACAAATCAGTAAATGCACGAGCACAGTAAAAGCACACCACTTGCATCGGTGACCTTGATTTAAAGACATATTTATAGAAAATCTCCAAGTTAAATAGAATAAATAATCATCCCAACATTTCACATTAATTTAATAGAATTACCTTAAGTCTTTCTTTGCATTTTTGCATCGGGCTTATAGATCATATACACTTACATGAAAAACTCGTCATTAAGAAATAATAAAAACACAAACACAGAACATGCCAAATGCTAGAATACCACTATTAAATAATACATTTACCTTCACATCTGGTGGTTTACTGTGTATGTGTATGGTGAACCTCTCAGAAGAATCCCACAGACTTATGGACACCACTTGCTGTTTCACTGTCATGGATCAAGAATGCTGCTACTGCTGCCACAGGTTAAAGGGGAGGTCTGATCTTTCCTCTCTCGCTCCCTCCCCCAACTCACTCTCTCCTTCCTTGTCCCATCCCTTACCCATTCGTTCTGTCATTGCCAAGTTGGGAACCTGCAATGGTGTAAAGAACACATATTGTGTCAATGGGCAATTTTTTAAAGCGCAAATATTCCACATACTCTCAATCAATATGAGATGATAAAATGCATGGCATAAAACAATTAGCACAATCTTTGTTAAATAATGTAAGCACCTGTTGTGTTACACTTTATACTTTGACATGATACTTTGAATTATAAATGTTAGCAGTTGGAGAAGAAGGTTGCATGGATAAAAAACATTATATTTTGCGAGGCTTATATGATTTTTTCCCAATTATACAGTATGAACATCTTTTCTTTCTCTGTGTTCAAGTACTAGTCTAAAATAGTCATCTTTAGCTATGATCTCACTCTTGAGTGGTCATCTGTGTTGCAGGGTTAAGATTACCTTTAGCCACTCTCTTAAGACATGGCAAATGTTATGAAATCTCTACACCTCTCCCCTCCCACTCCATCCCTCCCTTTCAGCTAGACCAAGGGCCTGTTCCCAGACAGATGCATGTCAGCGATCTCCACACGCAAGGGCAAGAGATACGCCAATACCATCCTGAGTCCTGAAGCAGCTGTAACCCATCCCACTCTTGCTGGACCTAAAGCTGTCATCCAGCCCCATAGATTGAAGCCATAGATTAATGCATCTTTGTGAGGAGAAGATTAGGCCTGTAAGGCCAGAGCTTTCGCTAGGCTTTAAATAGCATGTGAGTGCAGCATTCTGGATGCAGCTGAACCTGACCCTGCCCTGCATAGAGGACATTTCAGCTTAACTATTGACTAATTCCACCTCCAATCAACCACACAATCTTCCAGGAAATGGCCCAGGAGTCTGGTCCTTGCAGTTACATGGAAAATCATGTAGAGTGTGCAAACACAACTGACCTGTGGCTGGCTAACTCTGTTGTGCAGGGTGAAACATCCTCCTTCTGTGGTTCTTGATGCTCTGGAGATTCACACTACACTGTACAAACATGGCAGTTTAATTTAGTTTGCCCGTGGTTGGTTTAGGATGGCATAGGCCTACATTCAATGTTGTAACTATATTTTACACTCATTAGTTGGTGACAAGAAGTCACCATGAAGTCAGAATTGACCATTTTTATTTTTTTATAGAACATTGCAGCACTTATGTAAAATGAAAATATTATTCCCTCTTGCAACAACATCCCTGATCTTCTCTTGTTTTTACTGGCGAAGAGTGAGACAACCTGTCACTCATATGACATCACAGCAATAGCAAACCACAACCATCCAATAATCCAATCAATTCCTGGTAAACAAAATGAAGTCCAGCCCTTCATTTTTTTCTTGTTCAAGATGCTCGTAAATGCATCACAATCCTCCTGAATTCAGTGATGAAACAGTGAACTCTGACCCCAGCTGTGTGTCTATGAAGATGAATCCATAACCACAAATATAATAAAGCCGCATGTCAAGTGTCTTTTTTTTTTTTAGTAACTAGGGTCAATATTCATACAATCAGAGTTATATAAAGACACATATAAAAATGCAAAAAACATGAGTGAATATAAAAATATTAATAGTGAATAGATTAAAAATCAGCGTTCACGTCATTCCTCGTGTCTTCATAAGTAAAGAAAAGAAGGTCTGGTTACTTTAGCAGCAAAAACGCTAATTACTTTCTTATTTTCGAATGCGACTTTCTTACAGAAAGTTTTGGCTCATGGTGTTGAATGAATGACACTAATATAGGTGTCATGTCCGTCCACCTTATTTTTTTTTTCGTAAAAGCAGACTTTTTGGTGTCGTCCGCTTAAGTGGACTTGTATGTTTAACCAACCATAGATGGCGATAGAGAGCTAGCGCACCTTTAAAGGAGTAGTTCACTTAAAAAAAAACTTGCTGATAATTTACTCACCCCCATGTCATCCAAGATATCCATGTCATTCTTTCTTCAGTCAAAAAGAAATTAAGGTTTTAATGAAAACATTCCAGCATTTTTCTCCATATAATGCACTTTACTGGTAACCAAACGGTTCAAGGTTCAAAAGACAGTTTCAGTGCAAACTGTTCAAAGGGCTTTAAATGATTTCAGGCGATGAATAAGGGTCTTATCAAGTGAAACGATCACTCATTAAAAAAAAAAAAGTTTAAGTTTTAAGTTCTGTGATGCGCGTTCGTGACTCTCCTGTTTGAACTCGTTTATCAAAATGAACAAATCTTTTTTCATGTCATTTTTTCGTGTCATCACAGAACAGAGCAAGGCGAACATTTGAGCTTATAAATTTATTTTTTAAATGAGCGATCGTTTCGCTTGATAAGACCCTTATTAATCGTCTGGAATCGTTTAAAGCCCTTTGAACAGTTTGCACTGAAACCTGAACCTTGACCTTGAACCGTGGTTACCAGCTAGTGCATTATATCGAGATAATCCTGGAATGTTTTCATCAAAAACCTTAATTTCTTGTCGACTGAAGAAAGAATGACATGGATATCTTGGATGACATGGGGGTGAGTAAATTATCAGCAAAATACTGTAGGCTGCTAGAAGTTACAGTTTACTGTTACAGTAGCATGTTACATGTCGGCCCGGACCATTGCTGTGAAGTCATGTGAGTGATATGTTGTCCCGCCCTCGCGCCAGTAAACACGTCATCATGAAGATAAATGTTGTTATTTTTGATTAAAGATTACAAGGGCACTTGCAAAAAAAAAAAAAAAGAAAAAAGTGCATGGATTTATCATAGGCCTACTGCCCTACCCCTACAATGTGATCTTATCTTCATTTCAAACCATAGACTAAAACAGTTTCAAACCCATACTTTTTTTTTTTTTTGCTGTTAAAATATGGCCATACATTTTGTGCATATATGTGTAGGCCTATATAGAATTTGGTAGTGAGTGAGCAATGCAATGACATTATGCGACTTCAAAACACAGTGACCCCTATTGCTGTTCCTTTGTTCCATGGGACAGAAAGACAGAGTGGCAGTGCCACTGAGCAGTTACTGTGATACTGAGGCCAGGAGATGAGTTCTAATCCTATTTTAATCGTGGTGGGATTAAGAAAACACAGCAGATCCTAATCTGCTCAGATTAACCATGCTGCTTCCCAAAGGAAGAAGAAGGAGGGTTGTATAAGCAAGTGCAATTAAGGTGATTTAGACATCGCAGTTTCATTCCCAGCAAGGTCTCGAGGTGGACACACCCCTGAAATTTAGTTAAGTGTGTATTCATGAAATCTGTATTATATAGCTAGGGTACTAATGTTACAATTCACATCTCATATTTATACTTTACTATTTGTTGGTGGGTTTCAAGAAATAAATTCACCTTTAAAAGGGCATCATATTCATACACATCATGCCTCTAGCGCCATCTAACGTCCAAACTTATAACTGCACGAGAAATGTGTACAGGTAGCCACAAATTGACATTATCAAACGTAAAAGCAAATGCTGTCACGTAAAAGTACATATTTAAATAAATTCTATAAAAAATCAAATTGAATTAACATTTAGTGTATTGCTGATGTTTATGAAGTTCATATTAAATTGATAAAATGAACTAATGAATAATAAGGTTTGTTATTGTTTTTTAACACTCCAATAGTATTTTATTTTTAAAAAGTACAAAACTTTAAAACACATTAAAAACATGCTGCACATGATCCTTATAGGTTGGTGATAATTAAATATTGGAGACAATTAATAACACTTTATTAATGAGTAGGGTCTAGAAAAGAGTCAGACATAGACACAGGCTTACCACACATACAAAAACATATAAAATTTATTGTTTCCAATACCACCATCTTGGAAAACAATGTAAATTGTTCTTATTACATTTGTTAAATAAGATACTGTAAAATTAATATTACGAAATGAAACATGGGAACATTAGAATTAAATAATAAAAAACAAAGAAGGTTCTGCCCAAATAAGATAAGCAGATCCAGTTAAAAATATTTGTTTTTACCATCCCCCCCAAGTATGCCATTATTAGATACATATTTACTGAGAAAAACTATACTTTCCGGTGATAACAAAATGATTGTGTGATTATGTGAATTTTCATTTTACCATAAAATGTCATTTTTACAACACAGTTTTATGAGAAAATGCACGAAAATGTATTACATATTTTATTTATGGCACTACTAGTCAATGATTGACCAAAAGTTTAAGCTGGGCTAAAATTCTGACTAAATTACAAGTGCTAGAAAAAACAGTAGCACCTCATTGCAGTACACAAGATCCAGGGGGCGGAGTCGGATCCAGATCTGAGGGGTGGAGTTGGATAGGTTTAGGGGTGGGTTTAGGATCAGGAGGCGGGCTGGGTAGGTTTAGGGGTGGGTTTAGGGTTCAGGGGGTGGAGCTGGGTAGGTTTAGGGATCAGGGGGTGGAGCTGGGTAGGTTTAGGGATCAGGGGGCGGGGCTGGGTAGGTTTAGGGTTCAGGGGGTAGAGCAGGGTAGGTTTAGGTATACGTAAGGTGGGAGGAGTTGGAAGTGGCTCTGACTCCTCCCCGTGGATTTTATGCTCTGCAGTGAGGACCATCTCAGAAAAAAGGGAATCTTTTAGATCTGCACATTTTCAATACTAAAGCCAGTGAAAGCCAATTTAAATACAGTCTTTTGCTTTTCTTTGGACTTCACCTTTCACAAAGACAGTCCAAAACTTTAGCCAACTGAAAACAAACATATTATGATATATTAAAGTTATACACATCAGGAAAGTGTAAAGTGAAAAAGCATTATCACAACCACATGGATTCAATAAATCAGCTTGTGTTTCAAATAATCTCACAAACCCTGTTTTTACAAAAGTCACAAAACCACTATGTAACAGGCTGCAGATTCATTTCACAATCAAGTCAAAACATTCTCCTCATCTTTCAGAAACTATGAGTTCAGAAAGATTTCATGATTCAATATCATAAATGCAGGTGAATCTCATAATAACAAGCCCCAATTATAATCAACCCAATTTGCATATATGCATATGCCATATGCTTTCAT